TATCCACTAGGCTGGCCCTGGCTTCTTCACAGGGTGATCACAGCGTCCCAAAGCCCAAGCACTTCCAAGTCTCTGCTGGTGCCACATTTGCTACTATTCTGTTGGCCAGAGCGAGTTACATGGCCAAGCCCAGATTCTAGGAGTGGAGAAGTAGACTCTACCACTTGATGGGAGGGGCTAAAGTCACACTGTAAGGGGTGTGTACAGGGATAAGAAGAATCGGTGGCCATATTTGCAATCTACCCCTCACACCATTGGCTGAATGTGAGTCAGCCAATTTCACACTCATCTCATTTAACTCTCTCTGTAACCTTGGGAGGCAGGCATGAGGACTGGCTTTGATTAGCCAGGTCTGACTCTAAAGAAGTCCTATCAGACGCTTTGAATGCTGGTTTGTGTCTTTTTATTTCTTTGGCAGCTTGAGAGTCCAGATACTCTGTTCTGAGACAGGCATCCTGCTGTTTTAATTCCAAACACTCATCTACACAGATGTGATTTCACTCAGGAGGAGTGAAGTGGCAGCTACATTCCGTATTCTCACTGTAAAGCCAAGCTTTTGTGTAGTCAATATATGTTTATAAAGCATCTGCTATGGACAAGGCACTTTTTGCAAGGAAAGGAGGGGCCCTCAGTGAAGAGAGGTAACTAAGGAAGTTTGGCCATAAGGTGTAGATGTATGTCGTGTAAAGTGCCCAAAATACACAGTATATCAGAGACCAACAGAGTCTCCTATTAATCTCATGGGAAAGCATCATCTATGTGAAACTGTCCATTACAAGAATTATAACGTTCCTGCCTTCCCCTCATGGCTGTCAGAATCTCTCACCAGGCCCATCTTTTCTCCCCCTCTTTCAAAGTGTTATCCCCTAGGCTCTGCTAAGACATTTTGACACATGAGCCAGTTTCATCCACTTCTTCACTCATGCTCCATTTCTCCCAGGAAGGCAGCACCCTTCCCCATCTTTCCAATTTCCTGTGAGCAGGTTTTCTTTCAATATCAGTGACTTCTCAGAGATTCTTCCTGAAACATCCAGGCCAGCCTCTTTGCCTCTATTTATGCCACGTCCCATTTTGGGACTGTCCAGCACCTCTTCCTGTGTTTCTCCTCCTTTCTTGAAGACCTTAACTCAATTCTTACCTCATCTATGAAGCTTCTGAGCATCCCTGTCTTGGGACACAGCTTTGATCTCAACAGACCACTCCCATGGACCAGGCTGGGGCCCTGCTTTATCCACCTGAAGGAGTGAGTCCTATTTTCCAAGAGTGGTAAAGGGAAAGTGGTGGTCCTGTTGCCTCCAACTCAGTCCCTCCCTGAGGGCCTGTAACATTAACTAGAAATCAATCAGGTGGGACTTACTTTCTCCTGTGTACTTTTTTTTTTTTTTTTGCGGTATGCGGGCCTCTCACTGTTGTGGCCTGTCCCGTTGCAGAGCATCAGCAGGTGGACTCTCATCCACTGCGCCACCAGGGAAGCCCTCTCCTGTGTACTTTTAATTCATTTAGAAAATCTCTGTATCCTGCTGCCCCAACAATAATGCAAATCTCTTGATTAAAGAGATACAGACTTTAACTTTTATATCGCCAGCACCTGAAACAGACCCCGCTTACATAGGTTGTGTAATTTAATTGCTGATAATAATGATCTGTGTATTTCCTGTGTTTTACATCACGGCCTGCATGGTTTGCTTTCCCACAGAGCGCCACCATTGCAAACTTGCTCTTAACTAGATGAAGTATGTTGTGCTTTTTGAAGTGTGTGGCTGTGGTGGGATTTCTGGCACAGTTCATTCACCTGACTTCTGTTTGCCCTTCCTTCTGTTTTTATTATTTAGTGCCATTGGGAGGCTTTGGTTATTAAACCTCATGTCTCTCAAACGCCCTTTCCTTTCTATCCCTTCTGCGATGATTTCTTCCCGAATTCCTTCTGCTCTTCTTCGATCTTCTTCTGAATGTCCTAGCATAACATCCTCATATCTTCTTCCAAAAGACTGTATATAGTCCCTTCTGGTCATCATTTTAACATTTTAATCACACACACACACACACACACACACACACACACACACACACACACAC